ATTCCATATATAACATCTATTAGGTGAGAAATTATGTTTATAAATTAAATTCCAGGAGAGAAGCATTTGTTTGTGAAAATTGGATAACTTTAACGGAAGTTTAGAAATGTTGTAGTTACAAAGCAAAAGAAAATGAAGACCTACAACCTGTGAAAAAATACAATGCGGAATAATGTTCCATATACTAGTTGTTGTTTTTTTAAATTGTTTGATCCAGTTTATTTTAAAAGTATAATTAAGAGTGGTAAAATCTAAAAAATTCAATCCTCCATTTTCAGTTGTGTTCATAACCACAGATTTCTTAATATAATGGGTTTTATTTTTCCATAAAAAATGGAAAAGCATATTATCAACAGTCTTGCAAATATTATTGTTGACTGCTAGAGAAAGAGCTGTATATGTGAGCCTTGAGATGCCCTCTGCTTTTGTAACCAATACTTTCCCCTTCAAAGATAAATCTCTTAGTAACCACTGATTTATTGGCTAATGGTGATGATGTTATCTGCAACTGTAATTCCTCTTAACGTACTCTGTTTAATAGAATCAGCAAAAGCTGTTTTTGACAGGGTAAAAAAATGTGTTTTTTACACTACCATTGAGAAATTTTAACCAAACTATGTTACAGACATTTCATTAAGACCCTAAAGAATCATATCAACTTGTGGAAAATGGGCATCCTATGACCCCTTTAAGCCAAATTAAATCCCCTTATTAATTCAAGCATCTTTAAACAAACAGTTCTATATTTAACAGCTGAAGTTTTCATTCAGAAATAACAAAACTAATAATTTTCATCGGGAGACTACATCACGTATTCAGATGATTCACTAACACTTTACAATAAAGTCATTAACAAACATAATAAAATACTTAACAGATCAGTATGCACATTCAGATCTGTTAAACAATATATAACTTGATGTGTGTTTATGGTATACTAATCAAGGTATACAGTTTTTATGTATCTGATATTCAAATGATCCACTGAAGTACAGCATGTGAAGAAATTTTTTTTTTAAATAAATATTTATAAATATTAGTTTTTATTGTAAGTTTAGCTTGGGCCAAATACCTTAGAATAATTTAAAAGGGGGCTGACCTCTACTCATCTAGCTTTAGTGGTTCACACTTCTGGGCTGGACCTGATTTGGAACGTCATACACAGAGAGCCTCTTTTTACAGGCATCATAAACATACATGCATTATCAGAAAACAGGGTGGAATCTCAGTTACATAGGACTGATTTCCATCAGTTCTGGTCACAAGACAAAATATAATTTCACATCAGAAGTAATAGTTGATTCATTTTCCTCATAAGAATCATTACCTCAGTGAAAAAGTATGTTTTTTTGGATATTGCTAACTTGCTTCTGTAACTGGAAAACTGAAAAATCTTTTGTGTCATACACTAATGAAAAACTGGTAATACTTTACAATAAGGTTCATTAGTTAACATTAGTTAACTACTTTAGTTAACATGAACTAAGCATGAACAATACTTCTACAGCATTTATTAATCTTAGTTAATGTTAATTTCATACTAATGCATTATTAAAATCAAGTTTTGCTAGTTAACATTAGTTAATGCACTGTGAACTAACATGAACTAACAATGAACAACTGTATTTTCATTAACTAACGTTAACAAAGATGAATAAATACTGTAATAAATGTATTGTTCATTGTTTGTTCATGTTAGTTAATACATGAACTAATGGAACCTTAAAGTGTTACCGAAAAACTAAACTTCTTTATGCATTTATTTTATATTATTTTTTACAAGATACTCAACAACATAATTACGATACCTACAAATAAAAAAGCTCAATTTTAATTTCCCAGGATGACTTCTGACTGGTCTGGCCTCCTTTGAAACATATGAATCCATTGAAATTATGGACTGCTAATTCTATAAAAATATATATTTTTTGTCCTGTACATTCAATATTTTGAATTTGGATTTTAACCACGTCAGCAATGGATTCCTGGTACTATTCAGACTAGTAAAAAAAGGATGATAAACTATATGGGGATTCCTGATTTAAGAGGTCAATTCAAAGGTCTATGTACTGTGTGGGCTGAATTTCACTGCATCTTCTGATAAATGTTACAGCATTTAGAGAACAGGGGGAACACACCCTGGTCCTATCACGAACAGTTACTGATTCACTAAACCGGTTTTACAATAAGCTATGTAAAATAATATTCATGAAAGTGATAAAAACTGATACACACCTTCGCATGCCCTGCCTCACTGACCATGCATCAACCGACCCTTTATAAACTCAAACATTTTTCTTGCTTCTGTCTAAGTGAACCTAACACCATCCATTAATCCAGACATGGGACATCTGGAGTTAATACTAGTGCTAACATGGATAATAGGTTGCTTTACCATAGACAACAACGCAAATAGGTAAGATGCTCATAATTATTTAGTCATTTGGTATATTGTTTCAGAAGTAATGTGAATGTAAATCTAATTTAGCTTTTATAAAGTACCAGATTCAGCCAAAGATTTGATTTTATACTAGTAAAATGATGTAGCCTACATTGTATACATATTTATATGCATAATATGCAAATGCATATTATATGATAAATAAATATATATTATATTAATATATACAGGTGCATCTCAATAAATTAGAATGTCATGGAAAAGTTCATTTATTTCAGTAATTCAACTCAAATTGTGAAACTCGTGTATTAAATAAATTCAGTGTACACAGACTGAAGTAGTTTAAGTCTTTGGTTCTTTTAATTGTGATGATTTTGGCTCACATTTAACAAAAAACCCACCAATTCACTATCTCAACAAATTAGAATACTTCATAAGACCAATAGAAAAAACATTTTTAGTGAATTGTTGACCTTCTGGAAAGTATGTTCATTTACTGTACATGCACTCAATACTTGGTAGGGGCTCCTTTTGCTTTAATTACTGCCTCAATTTGGCGTGGCATGGAGGTGATCAGTTTGTGGCACTGCTGAGGTGGTATGGAAGCCCAGGTTTCTTTGACAGTGGTCTTCAGCTCATCTGCATTTTTTGGTCTCTTGTTTCTCATTTTCCTCTTGACAATACCCCATAGATTCTCTATGAGGTTCAGGTCTGGTGAGTTTGCTGGTCAGTCAAGCACACCAACACCATGGTCATTTAACCAACTTTTGGTGCTTTTGGCAGTGTGGGCAGGTGCCAAATCCTGTTGGAAAATGAAATCAGCATCTTCAAAAAGCTGGTCAGCAGAAGGAAGCATAAAGTGCTCCAAAATTTCTTGGTAAACGGGTGCAGTGACGTTGGTTTTCAAAAAACACAATGGACCAACACCAGCAGATGACATTGTGTAAATCCTAGTTGTGTAAATCACAAGCTTTACACAAGCTTCAGTCTGGATCCAGAACACCTGAGAAGAGATGATGCAACCCCATGTCACCATATTCTAATTTGTTGAGATAGTGAATTGGTGGGTTTTTGTTAAATGTGAGCCAAAATCATCACAATTAAAAGAACCAAAGACTTAAACTACTTCAGTCTGTGTGCATTGAATTTATTTAATACACGAGTTTCACAATTTGAGTTGAATTACTGAAATAAATTAACTTTTCCATGACATTCTAATTTATTGAGATGCACCTGTATATTATATTAATAATTATTAATATATAAATATAATAAATATGAATAATTATTAATCTTTACGATCACATCAAACCGGAGACGTTTCAGACGCACGCTCCAACTTCACTTTAGCTCCAGGCTCGAGTCAAACGAGCACGGAAACGGTACTGTTCTCGCAGCGCTTCAATTGCACGCACAAAGACACCGGCGCGCACTGTAGCCTTTATCATTTCATATCAAAGAGCGAAATAATCTACGTACATGCAATGTCGTGGTCAGCTAAGTCATGAAGTTACCAGAAAGGCGATTAAAGCTGCCTTAAAACTGTGCATGCATGTAATATATTTTATATCAGTCTCTGAAATGGTTTTCAAAATGGTCCTGGAGCAGCCCAGCACTGTCTCACTCATCTAACACACTCGATTCAACTCGTCAGCTCATTAATAGAGACTTTAAGACCTGAAGTGAGTCAGAAATGGTAAAGAGAATTATGAGAAAATACGATGCGTGTCAGATCCGCGTCATGTTCAGCAGCGGCAGCACTTAAAGAAATAACAGCCAAAACAACCTAATAACTAGCTGCTGTGATGTCTGTTCGTCAAGAAGAAAAAAAGAGGAAATCAATAACTTTTTATATAGCTTTAAGGATTTATATTTCATTTAGTGATTGATTGATAACTTCAATTTCAATTTATGTATATTTCTGCTGAAGGGCACAGCTAGGCCTAAATATGACATTTAGTAGGCCTATAATTGGTTTATGTGAAGTTTGTTTTAAGTTTACTTAAATTAGAAGTTATTTTTTAAAAGTCTATAGTAAATGTTAAAATTGATAGCTCTCAATTATACTGTAATGTTGAATGGCTATAGTCAATGGTTAAATTTTAGGGTGAAAAACAATTTTATAGAGACATCAGTAGTATTGGTATCAGTGATATTGGCCTTCAGTCATAAAAAAAGATGCCATTAAACAAATATTAAAAATATACTGTCTTTATGTTATTTGTACATTAATTTGAAGATTTAAAGTTAAATTATTGCAATATAAAAGTATATTTAAAAACGTTAATGTTAGGTGGGATTAATCGCGAAAAATCTGAAAAAAATTTGCGATTAATTAGTTAATTTTTAATCGATTGACAGCACTAATATATATATATATATATATATAAATTTCTATACAAAGTAGATGATTCAGTGAATACTTGATTATCATGTGCATCAGGCATATTAATAGAGCAACACATTTCTAACAATTAGTTACATGAAACAGGCAAAGTTAAAAACTGTAAGTGTAAAAGCATGTTAACATATCAGAGTTTGGCTATTTCTTAATTTTATACACAACATTATTGTAGTGCCAAGGCATTAATTGTCACTTCCTTACAGTTTCCTTACAGATGATGTCTACTATTATTTAACAAAATTACACTATTTTCATGCCTTTGTAGATAAGAAATTCTTAAGCGATAATACAGCTAATCCAAAACATAACAAGCATAGTAAAATATAGCCAGCTTCTTCATCTTTTTTCCTGATATTAGTTAACTCAACCTGCTTTCTTATATCCTGTTTTTACAGATATGACGTGACAGATAGAGATGCTGGTAAGAAAACTATCATGTAAAATGTAATATGGATAATGATTAACTAGGGAATTAGTACTATTGCAAAATTTCCATATTTCTATCATTTTTTAAAACTTTTCTCTTTCAAATATTCAGTAACATTTTAATATAAATAAATTACTGCAATACAAGAACTACTATTATCATATCCTACAAATCTGTGCAAAGACTATTATCATGTCTGTCTTATACTAATGAACACTGGGGAGAGACTTTGTTCTGTCACAAAAAAAACATGCTTGACATTGCACATAGTATTCAAGCTTGCAATCAAGCAAGGACACATATGATTACAAAATTACATGAGAACTGGTTGTAAACGGGTGGAGTACAGAAGGCCCCCATAAAGCATATCTAAGTTCCATGTCCATTACCAACACATTATGAACATAAAGTGAATTTATTGCATTGTACCATTGGAAAATGATTCACATCAAAATGTTAGCATTTCTCATTTCTCATTTTAGGACTGGTATTGTTTTAAGAGCATATGCTTAAATAAGTGATCTAAAGTCAACTGGAATTCCTAGTATAGTCAATTCTAGATCATTTCTACCAATGAAAACTGAAACGTCTTGTTTTTCAATCTTTTAAGCAGTGCTGGCCTCCTGTGATTTCAACAAAAACGAAGAACCTTTCTGCAACTTCCAACAAGACCCTGCAGATAATGGTGACTGGACACGTCACACTGGACCCACCCCAACCCCAGGCACTGGACCTGATGGAGACTATCCGGATGGAAGTGAGTATGAGCACCAAAACCAACAAAAAACAATCCAGTGATCAGTCACTGAACTGAAGATGCATAATCACTGGGAAACAATATTCAAAACTGAATATTACTGAAATTATGGCAACCACAAATGTTTACAAAATTACAGTACACTGATTGAAGGGACATGCACTATAAGATGTTTTGTCAAGCAACCTATAAAATGATAAAGAACTTTTTTTACTGTTTCTTGCTCTCATTAAACTGAACCCTTTCCACCTCATAGCTGGCTTTTACATATATCATGAGGCTGACAACTCCGTAAATGGACAGAACGTACGCCTTCTCAGCCCAGTTATTAGTAGTGAACCTTCTGAGATCTGTGTACAGTTCAACTACTACATGTATGGCTCTGACAGCAGTAACACCCTGACTGTGTTGGCCAAACGTCCTGGCTCTGAGGAACAAATGTGGCAAAAAACTGGGATACAAAGCCCATCATGGCTTGGAGCCTCTGTCACAGTGCCCATACCAGCTGGACAGACTGCTCAGGTAAATGGGTTTGCTTACAAACAGTAAAAGATTGTCACTAGTGCTAATTCAGGTGTTTGTGTAAGGCTATTGCTGTGTCATTTGTTCTTCTATAGTTCTAACATGCATTTTTAAATGAAATACATATGGTACAGTCTTGTCATACCTCACTAAATTGCCTTAAAAATTGCCAGAGTATCAAGGCCTTTATAGGAGACGTATTCAATTTCAGTGTGGTCACTGTGTTTATGGCAAAAGGCTATGTATTATAGTATGTCTAATCTATATAGGCCTTTTCTTCAGCATCAGTTAAAAAAGTCAATGTTACCAAGACAAAGAACACTTCTGAAGCTCTTAATGACAGAATGAACTTTGTGACTCTTACAGTGTGACAGAAAATCCCCAGTCAGTAAGTCATTTTTATCTTCTAGATTGTGTTTCAAGCAATGCGTGGGTTCTCTTCATCATGTGACACTGCCCTGGATAACATTGTCATCACCGAGGGAGCCTGTGCTGGTACTTTATATTTTACCCTTATTGCATGTTATAAAGATATACATTTTATATTATAATAATGATTTTATTGTATTTGATTTTATACAGGCTGTATAGCTGGGTGTGATTTTGATGATACTGATGAATGTGGCTGGACAAATGTGATAACCAATGAAGAAATCTTTGGTTGGGAGTTTTGGGCTGGACAGACAGATACACCAGGCACTGGCCCTGATGATGACTTCTCCAAACCAGGATGTGAGTCCAACATTCCATCCTGTCATATTATTATTATGCTTTCAGTCCTCTTCACATTCCCTATTTTCTCAAACTGTTTCTTTCCAATGCAGTGGGGATGTACCTGTTAATGGACTCCATCTATAGCATTGAAGGAGAATCTGCTCAGCTCTGGAGCCCCTCTACCTCAGCGTCTGGTTGCCTACAGCTGGACTTTCATTACTACATGTATGGCAGTGCCGCCAACATGGAGCTTAATGTCCATGCGGTCACCACCGGTAAGAGTAACAAGCCTACGGTCATTCTATAGAGTGAATATTAAGAGTTTATTAAAACATCTGTAGGTTCAAAGGATAATTATGAAATCAAAATTATGATATAAGAACATTATTCACATATACACACAATGAATCAACTTTCAAATCTACTTTCAAAAATGTTATTATACAGATTAATTACTAAGATTTTGGCTCAGTTTTGTTTTATGATTTTTTTTAGGTGTAGCACTTGGAGCCCCTATTTTCAGCCTCAAAGGAAATCAAGGTCAGGGCTGGAAGCCTGCAAGCATTCGCTACATTGGTTCAGCTGATTCAGTGGAGGTCAGTTTTATTCTCTCAGTTAAAAAAAATTGTGAATGAGATTTTTAAATTTTTTTACATTATGATCTGGCCCATTTGAGTTATAATCTAATTTAATTTATCATAAATATTGCCAAAGGTTCACGTTTTTACATTGTAATTCACATTTTTCATTTCAGTTTGTAATTGTTGGTGTTTATGGTGAAACAGACGAGACAGATATTGCAATTGATAGTGTCTGCGTTACCACTTGTACAGGTAGGTGGCAGACAATGTCACTAATGCCATTGTAAGTCTAAAAGTACCAGCTGTCACATGATACATATTTTATGGACAATGCACCAGTATATTAATTGTTTTCTTGCTTGATTTTAGCAACTCCAACAACACCTAAGCCATCCCCACCCCAACCCACTACACCTAAACCATCAACACCCCAACCCACTACACCTAAGCCATCAACACCACAACCCACTTCACCTAAACCAACGACACCAGGTCCATCATCCCCTAATCCATCTACACCCCAACCCACTACACCTAAACCATCAACACCCCAACCCACTACACCTAAACCATCAACACCCCAACCATCAACACCCCAACCCACTACACCTAAACCATCAACACCACAACCCACTTCACCTAAACCAACGACACCGGGTCCATCAACTCCTAAGCCAACAACACCTAAGCCAACTACTCCAGAACCAACACCACCAGGTAAGCTAAACTTGTTCTATTTTGATTAGAAACATTTATCAAAACATTATAACATTTGTATAGATAAACAAACCCTTCATGTCTTCCAACAGTGAACTGCCCTCCAGACTCTGAGTACATTGATTGCGGCCCAGCCTGTATTCCTTCATGTGCAGAGCCCTCTACGAACTGCTCTGGTTCTTGCATCAGCGGCTGCTTCTGTAAACCAGGATTTGTTTTCCGTGGCCGGCGCTGTGTTCCTATTGAGCAGTGTGGATGTCTGGATGAAGAAAACAATTACTTTGAGGTACAAGAGTTGTCGTTGTGAGGCTGCATTTTTATCCAGCTTTGGGACCTAAGCTTTTGCTCTAAAAGTCTTGGTCTATATTTACACTCAGCCCGGTGAGATCATATTTGGAGATGGCTGTTCCAAGTTGTGTCGCTGTGCTGGCAACTACACTTTCGACTGTGTGGACAACACCTGTGACCCTGTGACAGAAGAATGTCGGGAGGTTGATGGAGTGCATGGCTGCTACCCTAAAGGTATTACAGAAAAGCACAATAATCTTCCCTAATCCACAATTATCATAATTGACAAGTGATCAAACAACACACTGAATTGCTCCTGTGATAGCTCATGTTTCAAAGCCCACAAGCTTTCAAACACACAGACAAAATAAAAAAAAAAGCACATTTATGATCAAATTTGAATTTATATCTTTGACACCAAGGGATTTTTCACTCACAGGAACCTCCAACTGTATTGCTTCTGGTGACCCCCATTACAACACCTTTGATAACCGGCGCTATGACTTCATGGGAAACTGTTCTTACCTGATGTCCGAGCCTTGTAACAGCACAGACGTGCCTTACTTCGCTGTATACACAGACAATGAGAATCGCTACAACAATCCTCATATCAGCTATGTAAAAGCAGTTCATGTCCACGCACTGGGAGTCATAGTGTCCATTCTGAAAGGAGGAACTGTGCAGGTAAGAGAAAATAACATTATTTTCAATATTAATGATTTATACACTACCACGTATACAATAGTATTAGTGTACATATACTGTATACATCTAATTCAGTGGCACATTCAAATGGACAATTATGTTTTCTGACTTTTCTCAGGTCAATGGTACCAAAGTGAACATTCCTCTGAGTCCTGTCAGTGGTGTTGACATTTTCATGTCTGGAAAGCACTACACAGTGGCCTTGAACTTTGGAGTAACTGTACGTTATGACGGAAACCATTATATGGACATTAAAGTTATCAAGGAGTGAGTATGGTACTTATAAAGGTCTTCTTAATAACGTCTTTTATAGAATGATTCACTTTTGAATATCTCTACATGCTTGTGATCATTTTACAGCTATGGGGACAAACTTTGTGGGCTGTGTGGGGACTACAATGGAGACCCTCAGGATGACTTCCAGACACCAACTGGTGAAATGGTCCAAAGCCCCAGTGACTTTGGCCACAGCTGGAACATAGACCCTGAGTAAGGCACAATGCAAGACACATGCTGTTACAACTAAAAGCCTTTTCTCTATTAACTCAGATCATAGAGAACTCACCTCTGATTCTGCCTTCAGGTGTAACAAGCCTGAGGTTGGCCCACCCCCAGGGTGTACAGATGCTGAGCAGGAGTTGTATGAAGGGTCTGCTTACTGCGGTATCATATTGGACAGCAATGGCCCTTTTGCTGCTTGCCATCCAAAAGTCAACCCCAATGTGAGTGAAATCAAATCCGTTCATTTGAAATGCTTTTGAATTTGAATGCTTAATCATACAACAGATATTTACAGATCTTAACCCTGTGTGTTTAGGGTTTCTTCCAAGACTGTTTGTTTGATGTTTGTGAGCTGGATGGTGCTCATTCTGCATTGTGTGAAGCAATAGAGTCATACGTCAATGAATGTCAGGACCGTGGCGTCACAATTGGACCCTGGAGAAACAGCACCTTCTGTCGTATGTCTGAAAAATACATATTCCTTAACCATAAACTTGGACAAAAAATACAGACATGAATGGCTTGTCCTATTTCTCGTACTGTCAAATAGAGCAAAGTCGCAAAATTATGATTAGCACTAACACACATTCTTCCTCTCCAGCTCTGAAATGCCCAGCCAACAGTCACTTTGAATCATGTGCACCAGTTTGCCAGCCTTCCTGCAATCCAATTCCACCAAGTCAGTGCACCGGGCCTTGTTCTGAAGGATGTGTTTGTGACCCTGGATATATCCTCAGTGCTGGCCAGTGCGTGAAAGAAGACACTTGTGGTTGCAGCTATAATGGACAATATTATAAGGTGAGGAAATTGAATGTGGTATCATTTAGGACAGAAATGGTTTGTTATAGTCAATCAACTAGTATTTTTCATGACTTTCCCTCTCTCCGTGGTTTTAGCCAGGTGAAGAGTTCTTCACTAAGGACTGTGAGCTACTGTGTAAGTGCAACCCCCCATTTGTTACCTGTAATGCTGCTGACTGCCCACCAATGGAACAATGTGGAGTACAGGATGGCGTAATTGGCTGTTACCCACAAGGTGAGCATTCTGGTTAACTCAGTAAATGCGTTTGCATCATTTCAAAAGTTAGATTTCAGTCAGAATAAAGTAATTCATTTTTAAAGTAAATTATTTTTGCATCATTTTGCAACCTTTTTTAAAATTGTACATGCGATTGTTGTTTAGCTTTGTCTAGCATGTTGAACAGATTACAACTGGCCTCAGTGCCGTGTATGTTCTGGGGTCCTAGGAGGTTGCATTATTTTCAAATAATATACTATCTACAATACTAAATATACAATATTTGTAACATACATTTTAAGCACATTCTTGAGCACTTAAATGTTTGATGAATTGAAAGAAAGGGGAAAAAATTAATCTATTTTCTCAATCCCCCAGAATCTCAAGACTGTATTATCTCTGGTGATCCTCATTATAACACCTTTGATGGCAAATACTACACCTACATGGGCACTTGCACCTACACTCTGGCCCGCACCTGCGAAAACAACACTGGTAAGCAAAGGCCAAGATAGGGTACAAAGATCCATAACTACAGTGGCATTGAGTTTACTATCGATTTCATGTAAATAACATATCCCTGAAATAAACTTAAAAAGTTTTAAGAGTTTAAAGAATTATACAGCTTTAAAATAACAATACTTTACTATCTTCTGCAGGCCCCTGGTTCTCCATAGAGGGTAAGAATGAAGAGAGAGGAGTTTCTGGCGTTTCTTACTTGAGGAAACTCTATGTGACTGTAGATGGCATCACTGTGACAATGATGAAAGATAGGAAAATCCTGGTCAGTATCCACAGCAGCTGCCTTCATTAAACCATCATTGAAGCCATTCTGTAGTCTTGAGATCAAGAATTGAGGTTTTAAATAAACGGCTACAATATATTTAAGTCTCTCTGGGATTTAATCCTTGAGATTAAGTAAATGGACATAATAGTTTTTATCAAATATTTTCTTTCAGTTGTTCCTAATCTGTTCATAGTCAGATTATCCCTCTGTCCATTTTTCAATAATAATCTAGACAATAAAGCAAAATAAATAAAATCTTAGTTCCTCTTGTTAAATTTAACATTACCCTTCAATTCACCTCTGGTTTATCTCTTTTCCACACACTCAGGTGAATGGACTCAGGGTGTCTCTCCCTCACTCCCCATCTCCGCTCATTTCGCTGTCTGTTGCTGGACAATATGTAATCCTCACAACTCCGTTCGGCCTGAAGGTGCAGTGGGATGGCAATCATTACACCAAGATCTCTGTTCCCAGGTACTTAAACTATGAAAACATCCTGACTGAAATTAATGCATCATTCTGACCTGAAGCATTTGACAGGAAACAATAAGACCCACAATGATTGTTAAGGGTTGTAGATCTTAAGTAAATCCTGTAAAAGAAAAATCAAAAAGCTTCTCTGGGAAAATTCATATCTTCACATTATTCTCTCTTTTTGCTCCTCTCTCACTCATTTTATCAGTTCCTATTATGACCAGATGTGTGGCCTGTGTGGGGACTATGACGGAAACCCCAATAATGATTTCACTAAGCCAGATGGCTCCCAAACTGACAACTCAAGTCAGTTCGGCGACAGCTGGCAAACTGATGAGGATGAGGATGCAACGTCAGTAACTTTCACTCTTCTTCATCATCAGGCAATTTTTTTAGGATTAGGTCAACTTCCTATGCTCGATGTTGCCGGTGTTGATCAGTGCAGATCTGTGTTGTGTTTTCAGGTGCAAGCCTGACCCCGGGCCTCAACCACCCTGTGATCCTGTGCTGGAGGGTGTCGTGTCAAACCCAGAGAACTGTGGGAGAATAACTGACACAAATGGAGCATTTAGGTTAGGACTTACCAAACTATGACATTTTCTGCTAAAAAATGTAGAATCATTCCATTTGAAATGAATTATAAGAAATATAATTCATTGTCTCATGTTAGAATCAGTATGAATAATAGAGCGTGCGTACGCTCTATTATTCATACTGATTCTAACATGAGACAATGAAGAACTTTAAGTGCTTAATAATTGCACACTTTCTCTCATATTTGCTCCTCGCAGGGACTGTATAAAGGTGGTGGACCCGTTGCCTTTCTTCCAGAG